TCTCCCACCCCTTCTCAGTGTTTTCCTCCAGAACAGCCCCACTCCAGCCCTCCCCGCGGAGACAGGCAAAGCCAAACCCTCCTGGCGAAGCGGAGGTGACAATGGGGACAGGGCGCGCCAGGGCTCTGCTGGCCCCGGCTTACTGCCACCGCCAGACAGCCCGCGCTGTGCCCGTGTCCCCCCAGCCGCCAGCGCAGGGGACAGCTGGAAATCCTGCAGCCAGCACCTGCAGCAGCCTCGCTCCGGGCTCAGCACAGCGACTCGCACCAACAGGAGATGCTCGCACAAAGCCAAAGCGTTATAAAAATAGTGTTTAAAAAGAGCATAAAAGGAGGAGGTTTAGAGTGATGAAGTGTTCTCTAGACCCTGTTCTGGCAATTCTTTCCAGCCAAGGTAAAAAAAAAAAAAGAAAAAAGTGTTATTTGTTCCTCTCTTTCAGGGGAAGCGCGTTTTAGAAGAGCGCTCCACACAGCTACAGTCACCGACATCAACGCCCCACACTCCCCCAAAGCAACTTCTGGCCTTCATTCCACTCCGAGTGTGAACAATTCTAGGCTAAGTCACAAAATTCAAACTCAAAATCAGTGTTCCGAGTGACCACCATCAACAACTTGATCTCTAGTATCTTCTCCCTCATTGGCAAAGCCACAAAGTTTCCCAAATGACAGCCAGGGGCAGGCAGAGCAGACCTCCTCCTCCTCCCAGGGAAGGCTCACCTCGCCCTGCATCCAGCACAGTCTCCAGTTTTTCCTCCCAGTTGAAGATGGGTCCCCTTCCCCTGCCTGGCCACAGTCCTGTCTGGGAGGAAGGTGTTCTAAGAGCTCTTTAAACATCCTCTGGGTAGGTCCCTATGAAACAAGGGCTCCCCAAGGCATCCCAGAGGTACACCTCCCACCCTAAAGAACTGTCCCTTCAGCCAACCTCGCTGCTCCTGCAGCAGATTGAAAGAAATCAGAGGTGGAAACACCTGCAGGGTGGAGCAGTTACTTGTCTGCACAAGCAAAGAACCACTAGTTAGTGTCTGACCTCAACAACATCACCTTTATAGTGTCTGACCTTCGAGGAACGAAGCCAAAGAAACTCAGGAGGAGATTCAAAAGCTGGCTACAAGATTTTCTTTTCTCCCCTCAGAAAATCTGGTTTTGCTCTTAAAGAGAGGAGAAAGTCTTGGAATAACAAAATGGATGTCCCAAGTCATTGAAAAGTACAACAAATCCTTTCAACAGCCCTTTTCAACAGCAGGACAGGAGTCCCACCACACACGGGAGGGGATAAGGAGGGACAGAAAACAGCTTGTCAGGTAGGAACCAGCCTGTCTGGGTGTATCAAAGTTGTTGTAAGTTCTCCCAAAAAAAAGAACTCAATCAGTTTAGCAGCCATAGTCTGGCTAAGGCTACAGAATTTATCCCAGAGCACCTCTCCATCAGCCAAAGCTCCATCGCATCCTTTCAACCACCACAGACTCTTTTAAAAGCATTTACCATCGCTCCCTAAAGAGAAGTAAGATGGCAAGATGTAAGCCCTTCAGCACCCAGGAAGGGAGGAGACAGCATGAATCCGTACCCAGCCAGCCCCCTGCACCGCTGAGCCGCCACCTCCCAGGCGTCTTCCTCGAGTGTTCATAATCCTACAGACCAGCACCGGAGGCAGAGCTGGGCAACGCCACTGCAGGTCAGCCTCAGGGCCCAAATGCTACTCTGAAAACAAGCAGAAGTTAATCTACATGTAATGCCTTAATCCTGATTTGCCTTCTCAGGTTATTTTAAGGAGAATTCTAGCTATTCAGTCCAGGAACCCTCACAGACACTCCTGCTATGAGAAAATACAGCACAAGGGAACCCTGCACTTGCTGGGCAGACCCGAAACAGACAGCCCAGGTATTTGGGGAGGTAAGAGCAAGCAGAGCTTGTACCTGGAATGTGAGAGCTACAGCAGTATTTAGAGTGGTTCTGAGGCAGAAGTGCTTGAAGGAGGTCCAATTCTGCCTACGAGTCTGACCCTCTGGTTCTACATCTGTGCCCACCAGCTTGGCCACACCAGGTCCGACTACCGGCCTCTCTAGTGCAGGGTACCCAAGAGATGATGAGACCAGCTGGAATAGCTCAGCAACAGAAGGCAGGAAAAACATCCATCCAGTGGTTAGAGCAGACAGGATGCTTCATCACACAGCTCTCCTGGTCTATCTGTTCCATATTTCCTGGAGAAAAACTCTACTCTTTAGAAAGGATTGCAGCAGAAAGGGACATTGTTAGCCACAGATACTAATTACAGATTGTTTTAAGTTGCTCTTGCTCCACTACAGCAGCAACACCTGGCTGCACCAGTGTCACTCGAGCACCTTCTGAAGAGGCAGAGGTTGCTTGGGATTGCCGATAAGAACATAGGTTCTTGCATCAACCTGTCCTCCAGTCTCCACACCCACCCTTGCGAGAATTACCGTAGCCTGTGAAGAACTGGCCTTCAGTGAAAGAAATAACGCCAGTAAAAAAGCTGAAGGCTGACAACATCCCTCCTGCTGGGGTGATTCGAGGCCATCACCAGCTTAAGCAGATCTTACAAACACAACTGACCTTTAGCAAATCCATGCCCATAAATACCAAAAACTGCAGTGTCAAACAGCTACGCAGAGGTGAGCAGCACAGCACAGAGAGAAGGGGAAAAGCATGCTGGATTAGTGTTCACTCAAGATCTTCTGCACCACCAAAGCACCTGGGTGCTGGCAGTTTCTCCCTCCGAGGATTAGTGTCCGATCGGGTTGACGCTGGCGGCAGGTCAGCAGTTCTCACCGTAGTGTCTCAGCTGATGTTCACCTGAGCCCGCGCCACTGTGTTTGAAATGCAGCAGCCCCCCTCTCAGGAGGGAGAAGTGTCCAGCTCAGGACTGTGACTCCAACAGAACCGGTACACAGAAAAGTGGACCAGCCCCAGCAGTCAGTCAGACTGAAATGCTTGTATGCCCACTGGATTACAGCAGGAAAGGACTCGTACTTGTAGGTCAAACCTGTACCATGTCTCTTCCTGGCAAGAAGTACTATGAGACAGTATCAACGTTGCTGTTACCGGAGCTTATGCAGGGTAATATGCAAGCCACTGAGGCAGAAAACCCCAATGCCATGCCTGTATAAGCCCCTAAATACAGCTGTCTTCATTGCACATGACTAGATGCCCGTTTCTTGTATTCCCAAATCCCGATTGTAGCTGGGTGTGCCCCAGGTCAGAGCCAGGAAAGCAGCTTGGGGCTTCTCTGCAGCACCTAGCTCCTGCTCTAAGGCTGTGCGTAATAAGGCTTGACTTCACTCATTGATTAAAACCACCAGAGTCTTACTTTCAAGGAGACGTTGTTGATAAGGCGATCCTGGATTCAGGCAGTTTCAGTGCATAAAGCTGCCAGCTCCAATCGTGTCTTCCCATCGCAGCTTCTCAAGGTCTCTCCCCCAGGCAAAGGGGTCCAAACCATCAGATGTCAGATGACAATCACCAGAAGCTGATGCAATCTTCTTCTCTGCACACCCCAGGGATGGTTAAGTGCAGACACAAAGGAGAAGAATCCAGAAGCTACCTGAATGGCAGGGATGTGTGACTTCATTGGGATACATTCGATTCACAGGAGGAAGATCCTTCTATATTCACCCACCAAAATCCACTGGACTCAGCCTGTCCGTTCCAGAAGTTACTCCAAGCGTTGCTTCCATGATGTGCACACAGATGGTTTCTTTCTCCCTAAACTTAAAGTCATTAAAAAAAAAAAAGATACAAAGATCTGCTTTTAGCAGCATAGAGGCATTTGAAATTTGAAAAAACTCTGGAGTGCAGGACCCAAGTAGATGGGAAGTAATCAGTCCTTGACCTAATAAATAGAGTAGAAGGAAGTCTTCAAGGTGGCCAGTAGCCCAAACACAAAACCTGAAGTCCTGCAGAGATCACTAGGAGTTTAATGCACCACACTGCATGCAGGCATGTCCTGGGATCTGCTGCTGCACGGTTTCTCTTTCCCCTTTTGTTAGGCTCATGGACTATTTTGAATCTTGAAGTTCCTTTGCCTTCTTCAAAATCAGATGAACATCAGAGATAGGATAATCCTGTGTCAAAAAAAGGAGGTGATGTAAGTGACTACCCAGCATTTCTTGTACACATTGGTTCACTTAAGCAGGGCAGACCTTGACAACAGCATTCTTGGCCCCTTATAACACACTGCCATGTTCAGTTACTCCCTCAACAGCTAACCGTTTCCTGTTTTGTAACTGATCAAGCCTCAATACCGTTCAAGAAGTTGTTTTTTAATTTGTCCTCCAAGGGTAGAGTAAGCTGGCCTGCTACAAGGGCAATCTTTGTGCCAGAAAGCCTTATCAAAGCCAGTATCTTGCACAGCCCAAGGCAGGAACTGGCAGAATCAGAGATCGCCTGCGGTGCAGTGCAGGTGTTTTCAATCTTGGGCTCTCAGATCTCAGAACTAAACAAAAGCCTCTGAGGCCAATAAATTTAGCATTGTTACATAGTGTTTCACATCTCTGCTGGAAAATATAAATCTTTTTGCAAACCAAAAGCCATGAAGAACCTCTAGTCCATGACAATTTCTCTGTAGGCTAGAAGGGGTGCACAAGCAAAAGGCGGCTTTATGTTAATGGCAATGCTGGGCTCCAGAGAGCGGCACTACGACCCACCAAGAGAAGACCAGAGAAGAAATATTACTCTCTGAAATAGGGCCCGTTGCCGCTGTAGCACCAAAAATGGGGAGGAAGGAGAAGAGACCCATACAGAGCTAGGAAGACAAAACAGAGAACATACAGCCACCTTCTGCATGTGGCAGTGGCACAGGGAGCAGAGACACCAGCACCGAGGAAGCTGAAGTGGTCATTTGTCATGAGTTCAGCTCCCCAGTGAGAGCTGAAGACCACAGCATGGACAGATTCACACTTCCAGTAACGAGAATGGTGTAAGATCAACCTTAAGACTTTTCTGCATGCAAGCATCAGAAATCTGGTACTTCTCAGCCAGGTGTACCCCTGCCACCATCCTCTCTCACGGTCCTATTTCAAGACTCTTCAAACTGCTCCCTATGCCCACGACATTGAATCCGTACCTGTAGCAGCCTCATGTTCAGAGTGAAGTCTCCTTCCAGCAACTGATCCCGGATTAGTCTGAAAGACAGAATTTTTTACAGCTACTTTTGACTCTTTGCAGAGGAACTTTAAAAAGAGACTACACCGTGCCTTTATAGAGGCTTTGGAAAACACTTCTGCAACTATTGCAACAAGTGACTATAACCTGTTCACCTGATGCCTTAACACATGCTGGCAGAAGACTCGTGGATCCACAGATTTAGGTAAAGGAAAGAAAGAAGAGCAGGAAGGCTACCTCTGTACTTACGTCAACATGGCACAACAGACGAGCAGAAGAAAATCAAAGCGCTTATCATCAGCAAAGAGGGAGTCCCAGATTCGGATGACGTCCGGCAGCAGGAACTCTTGGGACAAGAGCAGCGTCAGCCAGCGGAAGGCAAAGAACTGGGGCTTGATGTTCTGTTCTTGCTGTCAGACATGCACCAGGCAGAGAATGAATACGTGCTCTTGGCCCATTCCCTACAAGAGATGCACCCCATGCTTCCATCCCCACCCAGATACTGCTCTAAGCTGCCAGCTCATGCTGCAGCACCAGCAAACCCACTGCCGCCTTCGAAGACTCTCACGTTCAAGCTAGACAGAGAGATTTTAAATGCAGCCATGTGCCATGTCTACAGACAAGCCAGAAAATGCTCCTCTGTCCACAACAGGGAGTAAAGGAAGCTTTTCTTCCTAAAGGCACTGCTTGTGTTAGTTTCATTAAACTTGCCAAGTGATTTTAACATTCCCACTTGAACAGCATTTTATCTGTAAACAGCAGCCCTCTCCCTCTAGCAGAGGCACTGTTTGGTCAGGATTTCCCCTCCTTTCCAGAAAATCAAAAGGTTTACTGTTCACAAAAAGAAACAAAGATGGAACAGAGTTCATACCGATGGTCAGTAAAACATACCGTAAGTGCTTCTAGCCTAAAGCTTTTGTTTTCTGCTGTTAAATCCAAGGGACCGTAAGTTTAATCAAGGTCAAACGAGTTCAAGGTCCTGCTGATATTCTTAAGGACCAGCTGCTGCACGGCCAAGACCATTTCCTGCCAGCCAAACTGTAAGCGGTTTATTTTCTCCCCGCTGAATCAGCCACCAGCCAACACCATGGGCCATATCACTACGCTGACAAACCATCTTTTGGATTATAAAAGAAATATATCCTGATTTCTCTGAACACGCACAAAAAAATAAACTCAGTGTGATTTGGTGAAGTTTGGAGTAACAAGAACAGCTTTCCCTTCCAAATTCTCCTTGGACTTTCACACCAAATGGACTGTAAGACCTGAAGATGTTTTCAACAAAAGCTGCTTCTACATGTTCTACAAAACCTGTGTCAACCCAAGGCACTCAGAGACCCTTGGATGACAGAGAAGGATACAATTAGGTGGGTGGGATGGTCCATCTTGCTGGATTTCAGTTGGTGGTAGTGCTGGCAGGGCAGCCAGCGGCAATAGCAATGTGTGTGGAGGGAGAGCTGGCTTTTATTTTGTTCTTAAAGACACACAATTCCTGTAACCCCAAATTTCAAGGAACTCTACAGTAAAACTCATGGTTTTCCTGATGTCTAGAAGAGGGGTAAAGACTCCAGCTTCAGCCAGGCCTCAACGCAGGTGACCAGGGATCGTGGCCAAGTCACTTTGTACTCACAGCTGGCAGCTTTGCAACAACTATTGTTTGCTTTCCCAGCCAGGCAGGGGAGGAAAGCCTTGCTGTGTCAGCTCGCTCCAGGCTTACTCCCAGGAGAGGTTGTTTCAGCTCCCAGATAAGAGACCTTCTGTGCTGCATAGGCAAAGCCCTTCCTTTGCTCTCTCAACCTTTCTATTTAAGCGTAGTAACAGTTGAACAACACGGGTTGACATTTAAATACACTATTAAGCTCCACACCTCGCATTCCAACCAAGACTCAGAGAAACACCTAGCTCCTCACCAGTTTCAAATACAGCTCCACATCTTTTTCCTTCAGGGTGGAGTAGACTTTCTCCATTTTATAGGTAATACCACACTGAGAATCATCCAGGCTCTTAATGAAGTTGTCCCGAATTTCAGCCATTAGATTGGTAAAGCAGAAAAACGTGTCTGCTTCAGCATGTTCTAAAAAAAAAAAAATAAAATAAAAGAGATGGGGAATAAAGGAAGCATCACTGACAGAAGCACAAAGACTTAGAACTGTTCTTACTCCATAACCCAGTTGGTGTACTGGATTCAAACAGCAGATCTCACAAGATCTTGGCTTGCTTGGTCTGGGAAAGACAAGACAACAACTTTTTTTTTCTTTTTTTTTTTTAAACTGGAAACATCTGCACAGCCACTGCAAATACAGACCCTGTGTGCTACACAAGGTCTTTGTGACATGGGGTCACAAACCAGTTATCTATGCCCAAGAACACCATCTGCTCTCCCTGCCATCAGCACACACCCTTTGGAGCTCCCATGAAGCAGAAGCAACAGGCACAGTACTCCCATTCCACTCTTTTTTTACCAGATGTATACAAGTACAAGCAAACAAGAGCTTCTAAAGACATTTTGAGTTTCAGGAAGTGCAACTTAGATCCATGCAAAACAAACAAAAACCCCTCAAAAATCCTCACTTCCCATGTCCTCACCACTCACAGCCCACTCAATTTCTATCAATTTCCTGCGGTCCCCAAAACTCCTCATCTCTTGCTGTATTTGCTTTTTGTCTCTGATCACTCAAGACAGAGTTGTTTAAAAGAGAGTCTTGTTCCCAAAACAGCTCTTTACACAGCGAGCATGCAGCACAACAACCATTACTGAGCAACCGAAAGTCTCTCACCTTTCCACTCACTGTTAGGATCTGTCGCAAAGGTGTAGTAGAGAGGCCCCACAATTTCATTCATCCCCTGGACGTACGCTATGCCGGGGTTCAGCTTGGCGTAGATGAACAGGATTCGCTCCACCACTTCCCAGTGAGCTTCACAGCCATTGGGCAGGACTTCATACTCGCTCAGAGAGTTAGACGTTGTTTTAAGAGGGGAGCTCACCTGAGGATCAAGGCAAGACTAGGGCTGATTCAGGATAACCAGCAGCACAGACAGTTTTGTACGCGTGACAAGTTTGGCTTTTAATAAGCATAGCCCCCCAAAAAGATCTGGGCAGCTTATACCAAGCAGACAGGTGTTCACATAAACCAGGACAAGTAACTTGGGAAGCACAAAGGTACTGAAGTCCTAGTGCTGGCTCTCCCTGAAGAACAAAGTGGTCTGTTGCAAAAGACAGTTCCCCTAAATCACTGCACCGCCTGATCCCATGCAGTACAAAGCCACAGTAATTCTTCATTAGTACCGTGAGAAAAAGATCTGTTGTGGTAGCAAGCCACCTTCCCCAACAACGTGTGGCACTTGTACTGTAACGCTCATGAAAGAGGAAAGAGCCCACACACATTTCAGCAGACACCCAGCTCTCCTCCTAACTGCAGGTTTATAAGATCCAGTTCTGGAAAATGATGTAAATCCAACTTAAGAAATTAACCCTTCACTGTTTTGTTCCCATAAGGAAAGGCACATGTCAAACAAAACACTCGCGTCTTCCTGCGACTCCAAGTTCCACCAGAAGTCAGGAAAAAATAATTGTTAAAATTAACTAGACCTATCATTCCCAACTAACTGTCAGGCAAGTCAACTGGCTGTACAAAGCTGTCTAGACAATAGAATACACACTGCCTGCTGGGGTATCTGCTTAATTCCACCACAAAACCAGAGAGAGACAGAAAAAAGCCCAAGAAACACCCTTCCCCTTATCAGCTAAGATGCCTTGCCCCATGGCCAGCCCCCTCCTACATCTCACATTTGTGACCCCGCTGCGGTTCCGCGCCACTGTCTGTGACTTGAGTGTGGTCTGCTCCACCCGCTTGCGTAGTGTCTCAAACTCATTTTGGGGGTCCAAGATTAAAAGGCAGGGGTAGTCCGTTGGGCGCTGGAAGAATGCCATGTCAGGGTACAGCCTCCTAGGATGGATACAGAAGGAAAACAGGCGTAAGGAGGAGGAAGTACATGCCCCACGTTGAGTGGGAGGCTCAGTTTAATATTAAACTTCATTTTCAAAGTACAAAGTATTAACCAAACCACTTGCGTTCAGAAATCTGAGTCATTATGCCTCACACACCTGACATCTTTGTCTATCTGGAGAAGCACTTCATTATCCTTGAAGTAAGTATTCCATCGACTGTCTGGGTTTGGATTGAGAGGCTAAAGAAATAAACAACAGAAAGGAGAACAATCACGTTTAACACGTATCAAAATCCTCAGTAAATACACACTGATGTACCAGTCCCTCTGTCACCTAGTACCAGCACACTCCTAGAGTATCAGGTTTAATTTCTTCCCCTCACTGGCTATGTTTAGTGTTGTTTCTTCAGACAGCGTGTGGGAAGCGGATCAGAGCTTGTGAAAAAACGTGAGGATGCAGGTTCACTTAGAGAGGCAGAAGCCAACATTTCCAATCCCTTTGCACTTCCCTCTTAATGACTTTGTTCCCAAACCAGGTGTCCTGTCCTGTGTCAACATGATTCCTGATCGCAGCTCCAACCTGCACAACACAGATGGTCTTTGTACCTCGGTAAGAGGTACCCACGCACACCGTACTCAGGTGCTGTGGTTATTAGTTACAAGTATCCCCCTCCACCTCAGCTCTGAGAAGGCTGATTAAGCACCACCATTGTTCCCAGGAAAAAGGAAACACACATTAACATGAACAGCCTGTCCTCCATCTGGCCAGTTTTCCAGTCTGACAAACTCAACTCCCCCTCCACACACACTTTTCTCTCTCCAGATCAAGATCCATGCAAAGTGAACAACTGAGGCAAAAAAAAAAAAAAAAAAAAAAAAAAAAAAAAGCAATGTTCCAAGAGATTCAAAGATCGCTGTAACCTGCCAACGTGTGGAGCGTTACAAACATGCCAGTTCTACAGCACCAAGGCCTCCAGAGATCACAGCAGCACAGGTGACTGCGCACTAGCAGAGGAGTTAACGTTCAAGACCAGTCATGGAAGCAGCTGTATCCTTTTACAGTCTCTTCTGATCAGCTACTTCATTCCCTCCCCCAACATATACACCCTTAACGGTGCTTTCAGAGAAGGAAAAAGCCAAGGGAAGCAGGAAATAGTCACTCTCCTGCCTCCTTCATATCCTCCATTCAGAGCAGCCTGCTCTGAGCCCACCCACAGACCTGCCTTCCCAGGAGAGCATCTCTTTGCTTTCTGCACCTCTTGTGAGCCTCTCCTTTCCCCTGGGAGACCTGTAGCCTGGGTATCTAGCCCCAAGGAGGGGAGAAGAGCTGAGAACAGCTCTCTTCAGAACTACTGGTGCTTTGTCAATAATTCACACTGAAGGCTACTAAGACAAAAGCACCGGGCTGGTACCTAGGAACTGCCCCTCTTGCTAGCAGGACAAAGTTCTCTCAGTCCAAGGACAGAGCCAAGAGCAGCCCAGGGGTCAGGACTCCACAACAACAGCTTATAGCTCTGGGGAATTTTCTGCAACACAAAGGTTTAACAGCACTTACATGATCTTCTAAGGTCACATCTTCTCTTGAAACACCCAGGTTGGCTTTGGCAATCCCAGGCTGGATAATCATTTCTTTTAGGAACTGGGAGTACAGATCCCTTAAAGAAGAAGAGAGGAATTTGCAATAAAGCAGAAGATTAAACCAGTGTAAGCCCCCAGACTGAATTCAAATAGCTTTTTCTGTACCACCCTGCTCAGCCAGAAGGCATTTGATTTTCTCCTGAGTTCAGCTGAAGAGATCAATCCACTAGACCCAGGACACAGCCTACAGAACAGTGCATTCTGCCCAAGAACAATTCATTTTATGAAGGTACTTAATTATTTAGGGACCTATTCTCCTTCTCCACAGATATCATTAGAAATAAAGGAGAGAGTACAGGTGTCCTCACCTCTGTTTCTTCAGCAGCGAGCTCCATAAGGCTTTCTCTAAAGGGAGGTAGTTCAGGAGTATCTGTACAGAAGACAGATGCACACAAATGAGCTGTTATACCTGTAAGATGAGCAAACCAAACGCAGGGGCTAGAACTGACTCTCTGAAAAACAGAGCTTTCTCCAGAATGCCTGCTACTTTGCCAAGTGACAGTCAGGAATATTTTGGGGACTGGTTTTCAACACAAACCTATTTGCAGGATTGATCAATAGCACACCTGGCTGAAATGCACTCCTAGCTGAATACTGAGGGCTGTCCTCATGCAAAGAGCAGACGGCCACCTTCTATCATCCAGAGTGATGGCTGACCTGTGTCAGTAAATGCTACTGCAGTTGTGCCAGTGCTGATCTCCACAAATTACTGTCAGTTTTGAGTGGCTTTTAAGCTCTAGATTTTATTTGTCTGTTTACAGTTTTAAGTACCCAAAAATAGTACGCACTTAACCAACCCAAAGCATCACTGTCAAGAGACAAAAGCACCCCAAGCACAACCCACCTTCCAGCACAGGCAGCGCAGCCCACCATCAAAGGGAATTCCTGCGGAACAGGAGGCACAGCAATCACTACGTTAGCCCCAGGCTCCTCACCGCGCTTCCCTACCCACACACAGAGGCAAGGCAGCGCTTTTCCTTCCCCGGGGACACGAAGTTTTCGCAGGGACGCTCCAGGAGCTCCACACGGTGCCAGACCTGCCG